GAATATGAAGTTTTTAGAGCATCTCCTACAGATTTTCCAAAATAGAGAAAATGGAGATTTTGGGATTTTGGGCATGTTTTTTGCCCCAACAAATTCTCCAAAACCTTTCTCCAAAATGGAGAAAGTAGGAGAGAGAGTGTAACATTCTCCAATTTTGGAGAAGACCCTAGAAATGATTACAATGAGAGAAATGAAATTTTAATATATCCCCACCAATAGGAAACTTTAAAATTAAATCTTTAGCAGGAGATAATAATTTATTAGGTGAATGGAATATTTTAATAATAAAATCAATGTTATAATCTCTAAAATGGAGAATATGTTGGAGTTGAATGTATTTTTCTTGTAGAGATTTTTGAAGTTCCATTCTCCATTTTCAAGAAAGTTTGGAGGATCTTTGGAGATGCTTTAAGAATCTGTACGGCTGTATCAGTGCATCATTAACATGTAATCTTGAATTTTAAATAACATGCTTTGATAAATGATACTTAATGCATAAAAAGTGGTTTTTAAGACTTCATCCAAATGCTTTATAATATAGTATAGATCAGAAGAATGAGGAACTTAAGAAAAGGTTGTAAACTAATAGAAATATGTAAGCAAAATTAGTTAGTAGTTCTCTAAATTGTGCTTTAAGATGTGCACTCTGAGTGCTCACCTCACATCCAATGTGCATGTCTTCAAGCATAATTTGGGTGCTAACATATAAAGTATTTCTTAAAATTTTCAGTGCCAAGTTTGGCCTAGGTTGACTCTTTTTGACTTTGGAACTTCAAATGTTGACTCTTGGGTTTAGAATGAGCTTGAACCGTTTGTACTATCTTTACGTGTACAGGTCAATATAATTGTAGCAACATCAATTCTTGAAGAAGGGTTGGACGTTCAGAGTTGTAATCTTGTGATCAGATTCGATCTTTCGTCTACTGTTTGCAGCTTTATTCAGTCTCGAGGTCGTGCTCGAATGCGGGACTCGGACTTTTTATTATTGATTCGAAGGTACACACTTCAAGAACTCTTGTTTAGCTTGATAGGAACTTTATTAAAATATATAAAATTGCATTCCATTTGTTGTGATGCGCTTCTTGTGAAATATACTATATAATTTTGGAAGAGACTTCTAATCATTTTGATAGGTTAAACTAGTGTTTTGTAAAATTTAAAAGTAGTCCATACAGTTTAGGTTTTGTAACTCTTAAAATGTTTTTGTTTTGTAACATAATTAATAATTTCTTGTGGGATTGTTTTGCTTAAATGCAAATATAGTTTTTAGTTTTTTGATGTTTAAAAGAAACTCCGTTGTCATTCAAAATTTAAATATATTTTTAAGGCAAGGCGATCATCAAATATATATACACACATATATAGGATCATGTTTAGGGGAAAATCATAAAAAATGAAAAATTAAGGAACAACCTAGTAACCATTCATCTGCACGGTATGCACATGTGCATACTACAAGCAACTTGTTCGGTAAGCACATGTGCATACCATACAGATGAAGGGTTATGAGGGTGTTTCTTGGTTTTTTATTTTTTGGGGGTTTCCCCTGAACCTCACTCCATACACACACATATTTATATATATAGCTCAAATATATATATACACATGCGCACACACACACACACACAAGACATGTTACGTCCCACATCTGCTAGACTTACCATTTCCCTTCTCTCCATAAGG